GATACCACATTTCGCACCCATACAAAAGAACAGGCAAAATTATTGTTTTGTATACTTTAGTGAGCTAAAATGCTCATTTTAGAACTCCAAAAACAGGTAGAATTTTGTTGGTGGTGTTTACTCCGCAATCTTGTTTACTCTAAGGTGTGCACACACTGCCGTACGTGCTGTGGTAAATTTAATGAGGATATATTCAGATTGGAAGGTCATCCACAGTTAAAAAAACTAGTCTCTTAAGTTGTTTTTGGTGCTTATCAAAACGTAGCTTTTGATTAACAAAAGATCTCCATTTCAGTGCATTCTTGCCCCCCCCCACCTCAAAAAAGACATACTTATATATTTATATCTAAAGCCTAACTTATGCTCTCTGCTTTGTCTCTGGCTGTCGCAGTGGTTATTATGTGTTTGTAACATATGAAGCCATATTGCCCAGTATGGATTATAACTGATTGTGATTGATTTCAACAATTGTAAATATTAAAGTGTATGAACACTTTGCAAATATAACTGGAAACTTCAGAAATTAATATTACAGAAAGAATGACAAGGGTTGTGACTTTTGGCCAGGAATCACTGCTGAGGGAGGTGGCATCCATAGCTGACAGATGCTGTGATGACTTCAAGCTCCACTGTGATGTCGGCAAATATTGCATGCACCGGTGCAGACTTGCATTGCCAGTTCTCTTGGCAGATGATGTTTTGGAGCCAGTGTGTATCATGTGTGCACAAATTGCAGCCAGAATCAGCCAAGAACGTGTCAATACATGGATACAGTCGCACATAACTCCAGGTGTGTGACACCCCCCCACCTTCCAGCCTCCACCTTGATGCAGTGCAATCACATTACTTATTGCTTTAATTTGGGCGCTCAGTTTATACTTGCCAGTGCCAAGTTCATCACTCTCACATCTGCCTTACTGTTTTTGTAATAAAGCGTAGTATTTCATGTTGTATGCTGTCATATGTGAAGAACAAATTCCTTTTTGTGAAAATGCATTTTTCTATCATGGAGTTTACTGTAGGATTCTATTGATTACAAATTATTTTGCATAATATTCTCCCTGCAACTTCTGAAATTCAATATTATCACAAATTATCCTCCTGTAAATATGAAATGAGGGTGTGGACTGTATTCAGTTGGCTCAAGACAGGATCCAGTGATGGGCTTTTGTGAACATAGTGATGAACATTTAGATTCCATAAAAGGCAATACATTTTTTAATTACCCAAGCAACTGTTAGCTTCGTAATAAGGACCGTGCTTCATGAGTTTGCTTATGAAGACTAACTGTGTCTTAATATTTCTGTCTTTTGGGTTGTTGCGCTGTGTAGTCTGGTCAATGTTAACCAACGTTTCAGAGGTCATACTGCCTCCGTCATCAGGGCGATGAATAACATCGACCAGACTACACGGCACAACAACCCAGAAGACAGAAATCTTCATACTCACAGCTGTGAAAACCTCAAGTGTCTTGTCAGTGATGGGTTTTACTCTCTGGTCTCATCATCCCTTTGGGCCTGTCCTATGGCATTATCTTGTCACAGCGTTTTGTTCGCAGGCCTGTTTATGAAAGATTTCCAGTTGGAAATTGAGAAGGCATTCCGAAATGTTGGAAAGCTGGATCACAGGAATGAAAGTGTATGTAAGTCATCACATGTAGTGCCTCTTGGTGGAAGGAATGTGAAGCACATGGACATCGTTGAGTCTCCAGCCCGGGCCATCATGCGTATGCAAGTGAGTGTTGTGGTTGAAACGATTGAATATAACCTTTGTGTACTAGCAGAGGGACCCGTCAGTCCATGTTTTCCATCTCGAATGAAAGAATCTTATGAAATGTTGTTTTTGTAATAACTGTACATATTCAAATACCATGCATGTCAGTTCTTTCTCATAACATTTTTGCACAAAGTAAAGATGTCCAGTGATTTTATGCCAACACTTCACAATCTTTTTTGAGGTCATTCTCAGTCAGAAATATTTTATGTGTACAGGTCCAATTCTCACTGGTTACAGAACTGTGGTTATTTGAAATTAAAGTTGATTTGAATCTTATATAGAACATCAGGGTTATTCATATGTCTTCTAGCATCAAAAAATTTGATGATTTAGCTTGTCTTCTACTTACTTTCACATTCATACACCATATTTTTCATGTAACTAAGGGATTGAGTTCCGGTGACTGCAGTGGCCAATTCTGTGAACCACCACAACCAATCCATCAGTCAGGGAACTTCACTTTCAGGAACTCTGTCATATGGGGTGGCCAGTTATGCTGGAAGTACATATGTAATCGTGTTTTGTGTAATTCGTATAATCTCTCATTTCTGTCCATAACTGTTGAGAATAAAACTTACATTTCTACAACATTCCTGACGCAGTGACCTGAAGAATAAGATAAAGATACTGGACACACTCTGTAAAGTTCTGAGTCACAGTGTTTCTTCATTCAGAGCAGATGTAATTATTTTGTCTGCATCAGTTTACTAGGCATCTGAACTTGGGCTCAGTTTGTTATACAAAGGGTTGGCAAAGCGAGTGTTCATCAGTTGGAAAACCCTATGTAGCAGTGTTTTCATTATATGTGTACACAACTTTTACTGTGCAATTCAAGTTTCATGCATATGATCCAGAAGTGGTTTGCCATTGCCTTCTTCTGTGTGTAAATGGTGATGAAAATGGAGTAATTGTTGGGATGCCACGGAGAAAACGGGGAAGTCCTGGAGGAAAACTTTGTGATACCTGGACCACGGCCTTGCCCAACACAAGTTGTAAATTCGGGCACCACCGGGAATTGAACCCGGGACCCCAGGATTACAAGCCAGTGTTCTGGCCGCTAGACCACCGTGGCGGTATATTGTGCATGCAAAGGAAAATGTTATTATTTTTTTTTGACATGGAAAATGGCATTTTCAAAGCACCTGCATGGCATATAGTGGGACAACCTTACTTTAGTTTTACTTTTTACTTTGTTATTAGTAGGGCTTCACATCCTAACTTTGTTCAATGTGCAGAACATGATGTGGAGGTTGTTGGAAGGTGACAGCTGTTATGTAAGTGAGCAGCAGGTGCTATTGACGCTGGCTGTTATTCAGGGCACCCTCCATAACCGTGGAGATTTGATTCCATCAGCTGAGAGATTGCTACCTTCTATGGTGCTGGATCTGGCAGTAATTCTAGGTGAGTTATGTGCCAGTTAAATCCTGCAACAAATTTTAAAATTAAATTATGTTCAAAAATTGTTTCTGCCTTGAAAATGGCTCTTTTTTGGGTTGTTGTACTGTGTCATTGGAAGTTACCATTGATGAAAGATTCTCGGGCTACAAGCCATGTCAGGTGACTGAACGGTGAACAAACCATGTCTTCTGCCAACGTTTCAAGAACAATCTCTGATCTCATCCTCAGGGCTACTGGGTAACCAATACGTTACTTTGTTGCACCTAGCTAACATGCAACAACTTCCTTGTATTCAATTTCAAATCCCTTTGCTTTTTGCGTTCGATGGACCAGTCTTTTCTACAGTCCCACAAGTATACATCTCTTTAAGAAGTATTTGTGTTACCCTTCTAAGTGTAAAGAAATTGTTTAAGAAGATGTGAAGCTATATCTCAAAGCGTGCTTCACTTATTTGCATAAGGAAAATGCTCCCAGAGAGAAGATTTTCATCTTTCATTATTTGTAAATAATAAACTTTAGTAAGTAACCATTTATACTAATGGTAATCTACCACGCCTGAATTTGTTGCATTTCTGGAAAGGATTTAAACAGACAGGAATGTTGGAAAGCTTCCAGGTAGCAGAAGGCATTGTAGAGTTTTGCACTTTGAAAAGAATATGTGATCATAACTGTGAGTCATGCCTTTTGAACATTACCACGGATGTCATAAATCGATACTATCTGAATGCATAGTACTAAGAAATAAAATTGTGTATGTGGTTTGACACAACTGTCTTCTGCTTTCAAGTTGCGCATCATCCAGATATGATGACAACTGGACTGATGGAGCACTTTGTGAGTGTGTGGCATGTCTGTGAGGAATGTGATGGTTTGACACGCCTCCTGTGTCCACGCAACATGTTGCTGTTGTCACAGTCAAGACATGCAGCAGGCAAAGTCTGGACGTGTTTGGCGGGGTTGTTGGCGTACTTGCTGTCATGTGAGGTGCTGCTGCCTGACAAATTGGAGCAGCAGTGTGTGGCACTGCTTCAGAGCACGTGGCCTCAGGTACGTCTTGTCTGAAGTTTGGAGTGGAGATTTTTATGCAATTTGGTGATTCAGAAAGGGTTGAAATTAACATTGTTAAATTTATCAAATGAAGAGGGTGTTTATTTGTTTGTTTGTCATCAGTCTTTCGACTGGTTTCATGCGGTCCTCCATTTTTGCCTATCTTTCACCAATCTCTTCATTTCCACATATTTTTTGCAGCCCACATCCTCAAAAATCTGTGTCACATATTCCAATCTTTTTCTCCCCCTACAATTTTTCCCTTCAATTGTTCCTGCCTCAGAATGTGTCCCATCATCCTATCTCTTCTTCTCACGTACTTTATCCCTCCACTTAATTTTCAACATCCTTCTATAGCACTACATTTCAAATCCTTCTGTCCTTCTTTCTGGCTTTCCCACTGACTGCAGTTAGCGCTTTGGTTGATGAAGTGGAATGGGTGATGTTACTATTGTTTTTTTGTTTGTTTGTTTTGTCTTTTTCAGTGCAGCGTATACTTTTGCTTAATTTCTTGTCATTTTTTGTCATTTTCAGTGCAGCTTATACTTTTGCTTAATTTCTTGTCATTTATCAATCAAGTAATAATGGTAAGTAAGGGACAACACTAATAACATTTATAATATTCATAGCGCTATTGTCCCTACATGGATTACGACCATTCTTGGTACTAGAAAATGTGTGTTCCAAAATTTTTGTTGGGAAATTTCAAAGGAAGAATACTTTGGTGGCCAAAGTTTTAGATGTGGAGATATTATTAATTTGGATTTTGTGAAATCCATACTGGATTGAGCTGACTCAGGTTCCACTGGTAGGGTTTTGTAATGTCAGTGATCAGTTATGTGACTGTCAACTGTTCCAGAGAGTATATTACCACAATCAGATATTTGTATAACTTGATGCGGTAAATGTTTTATTTCACATACATTTCTAAAAAAATCATGAGCTGAATCTATGAGAGTATTTGATCAAATAAGTGTAAATTTGGAAGCCACATGGGGTTGTGTTACTGTGTTGCAGGAGATCTTGAACCTAATTGCCTTTTGCATACGGGAAGTGATGCGCCTGTACTGTGCGTCCAAAGATTACAAGTTCACGCTGCTGATGGAATGGCTGTCAGAAATGTGTGATGACATAGCATTCTCTGACTGAACTGGTCATACCAGTTACAAATGTAACATTTTATATTTTTTAAAAATAAATGTATATCTTATAATACCCCTGTCAAAGTGATTCACTGGGGTTACTCAATATTTTCGTCTTAGAACATTAAGTGGTAGGTGAAATATGCTCATTTTACATTTTGAGCTCTGGTAAGTGCCTATCTCTGATACGATTAGGTTTGGCACTTGTTACTATCCTGAACTATGTCCTTGCTGTCAACCTTTCATAAAAGTATTTCCCTACCATCTGTTTTAATTTTATCCTCATATCTGTTACATTTATGCATGTGGTCCCTACCAAGAGCTTCCCTATTATCTTTCAATGCATTTAATGTTTGTCTTGTGTGAACTACATATTAAAGTCTTTAAAACTCCCTTGGTGTAGTTATCTGAACATTATAAGGAGAGTATATAAGTCAATCTATTTCTCATTTCCCTCAGCAATTTCAGGAGGTATGTAATTCAGTAAACTATGGAAGAGATGTTGAAGGATTGTGGGCAAAAGCAAGGTAAGTAGGCACACAAAATAAACATATTTACAGTCTACCAAAACCAGGATTGAGTAGAAATTATGCAGAGGCAGTGGGCTTGTCGTTCACTACTCAGATGCAGCTTACAAGACTAATAAGGACATTTTGTCTTGAGCAACTGTCCCGGAATGGGCCGATCGGCACTATCCCAGTAATAGATGTTGATGATGGTTAATACAGGAGTAATCTGCCTGGAAGTATGTATTAGCAAACCTCATAGTTAATGAAAAAACAATTATGAAAATATAAATGTAAAATATGCCTTCCCAATATGAGTAGTAACAATAGGACCAACAGACACAAAGGTACAAATGTTTAATAGCTATGTGCGATTGGCTGAGAGTTTTGAGTGACACTGTTTACTACTAGGTGAATCTTGTATGAGTACTGGATAGGTACAAGGAAGGAGCAAATAAAAAGTATTACCCCATTGAAGTGATCAAACTTATTTTGTATTGGTGTTATAGACCCAGTGCACCTATTGGTAAGTTAGTACAAGTGAAACAAATGAGTATGCATCAGACAGTTGAAATGAAGGGATCTTTCTTTATCATATTCCTTTGTCTATGTTCAATGTATTGAACAGAGCATACATTAGGGCAGTATTTCTCAACCTCTGGTATGTGTACTACCTGTGGTATGCAAGCCAATGATGAGTGGTATATGAACTAAGTAAGAAAAGCAAAAAATAATATTAACATAAATAAGTTTTCCCTGAGCGCATTTGGTTAGTGCTACATTTAGTGTGTTAAATTAGAATTAGTGGTACGCCAGTGAAAGAGGGTGAGAACCCCTTGCATTGGGGCACATTATTTGGAGGCCAGGGTAAAACGACCTTTATCTAAGATGCCAGAAAAGTACACATTTCAGAACAAAAGCTTTCAAAATGATTAGTTTAAAAGTCCTTCAATTTCCGGTTTTTAGTTTTTCGCAGGGAGAAATCGGTGCGGAATTGATCGAGTAGGCCGTTTTAGACCGATCAACAAAGGGACCTCATCTTTATGTTCCTATGGGCGAATGTATTGGCCTGTAAAAGATATACGGTAATAAACAAAATTTTATGATTAAATTGAGGCAAGTAGCAACTGATGAGATACAACTGAAGCAACAAAATCGAATGCAGTGCTACCTAATTATAAAACCTAACGCAGTTTTCAGTCCACATTATTAACTGCAACAAGTCACCAACAGACTTCTCAGAGTGCGACGTACCACTAATAGATGGTATGACATGCATGCAGTGGAATTTTGTGTGTCGTGCTCCACTACGTTTTGAGCATACGTCACAGTGGGCGTGACCAAAACTAATTTTCGTATTTCGGGCCGATTTACTTTGTTTGTGCTAATGAATATTATATAAAATATTTAATGATGCAGTTTCATACTCAATTATTTGTTCTGTCTAAATTAGAACGTTCCGTATCTTTAGTTTCAGTAAATAGAAGTAATATTTAAGCTCATCCCCACAGACAGTTATTGAAGAAGGGGACGACCTTCAAAGTGGGTGCGAAGGATATGTGGGAATTCGTACAGAACAAATTATAATTAGGACGACTATGTTTATAATACTTATGAACCCTGAACAATTTAAAATTAACAATTTTAAAAATAGAGTAAAGTAATATAATATTTACGTCAATTTTCTGAATTTCTAGGGAAATAAATAACAGATATTTCGTTTCCGATTACTCCTTCGAACTTCCAGCTGCATAGCCGAGGAGATTGGGAGGAGACGACCGCCATTAATGACGAAGAGTGACACCTAGGTAAGCTGCCACTCAACTGTCGCTTGTGTTGTTTAGTGCGAACAGCAATTTTTCAAAAAAAATAACCCACCCACATTTTGTGTGCAGCTCGTTTCACGCTCAGTGTCTGAGGCGCGATTATGTTAATTTCTGACTGATGTGCGGCAAATTTTATAAAGTTACGTAGTGTGAAAGGTTATTTTTGGTTGTGGAATTTAGCCTTGGGGGAAGGGAACCTGCTATTTCCTAGTGTGAAAGTTGCCAATCGTAAGTTATTTATGACGTAAGGCTGGCATTATTGTTGCGCTTCGAATTGTTAAGCGCACGTCACTGGCCTCGGAACCCATGGAGGATAGCACCTGCAGTTAAGGTTAGATCAACCTACCAAATTAGTAGTAGTAGTAGTAGTAGTAGTAGTGGTGGTGGTAGTAGTAAAAGTAGCATCAACACTGGTAGTAGTTGTATTGCCTACTTGGCTGTGGTGTGATGACATTGATTAATAAGAGGATTATTCCAATAACAATGCTGGTAGTAGTTGTATTACCTACTTGGCTGTGATGTGATGACATTGGTTAATAAGAGGATTATTCCAATAACAATAGTAATGACTTGATTTCTTTCGGCAATGCATTGATAATATATTGTATTTGTATTTTTAATTTGCAATGTGCGCTTCTGTCGCTGAAATGCCTGTTAAACGGTAAGCTGGAGTGAACCCGTTCGTGGTTGTAGATTGTAGCACCATGTGGAGCATGGACTACGAAGTGCCATTTTACGAGAATGTATAACAAAATTGGAAAGATTTATGTGCGGGAATTCTTCACTTAGCAAACAGGTTTCTCAAATGATTTATTCGAAACATGAAATAAATTCCTCATTACTTTCCATAGTTTTTGTCTGAAACATTTTGTTGCTTCGGTGACGAGATACGGTGAAATATATCATTCAAATTGCAATCTGCAGCCCCCCTGATGTGCAGTTTTGCAAAAAAAAAAAAAAATTATGCTGGTTATGGTGCAGATACAGAACAGTATGTACCATTTGAAACGCATCGTAACAAAAACCATGTTCTTTGGTACAAAAACGAAATCAGTAGCAGGCCATCCCCCGTGCGATTGTGTCCCCCGATCTCCAAACTGTCACTCGAGCTAAGGTTCCGTGGTTGTTAGGCCCCTGCTCACTCTAGTTGCGCAACAGCTATGCTTATCGGAACATGCTGTATTCACGAGCAGAACGCATGTTAATTCTCTAAGATTACTTCGCATCGAAATCGGTTACTGCTGTTCGTAGAGCAGTAACTAAGCATATCCTGACAAGGAAATACATAATCAGACAATAGTACACATTTACTGCAACAGAGGGATTAGTTTCGTCGTTTTGTGCGTGAAAGTGCGCATGTGTAGAAATCACTGTTTAGTTTTTACACTGAGCATTCCGTATTTTCCAGTTTTCAATCCGAAGTCTCCTAAGCTGTAACTTTGTTGATGTAATTGGTTCTGTTGATCATTTGTTGCAGCGTTTGTGTAAAATGTATCAAGCGACGCTGTCAGTGTCGAATGATAAGATGATCGAAGGGAATAATTAATTGGAAAGGAAGTGTTCGTGGCGTACAGATTTCTATTGATAAAGCTGATATGGCGGTACGTAGAGGTAGGCAGACGTTATTTTTCCTTGTGTTTACTAAATGTACAGCGTAACCACATTTTATTCATATTAGAAACAAACATGAAACACGAGGTACAAGATACGATAAGGAACAGTTCAATGTGTTTGAAAGAATCTTTCGTAGAGTTTCATGGAAGTTTACGGTGCAACCCGTAACATCGTAAGTCAGAAATTGAAATTGGCGTCGCCACAGAAGAAAGGTGTGTGCGTGCTGTAGTGGGAACTGAAATCAGTGATTAAAGTGCAGGAGACTTTACCGTGTGATCAGTTGAAAACAAGCATCTGGAGGACAGTCCGTGAAGAGAGCCGGTCTGACAAAGTCGCTCGTTGCAGGGCACACTGTCGGAGAAAAAATGATTTTTCCTAATAACTTCAGTATCAAAACTCTTACTCAGATCGTCTTTTAACTCTTTTCCAAAAAGCGACTCTTTGAAGGGGTTCGGTCTGGGAACAAGCCTTCGGAACGTTTCCTTCGCCGAGACTTGGCGCTGAAGTTGAGAACGCACGTACGGCGTACAACTGCGTCTTGCTGCATTATTAAATAGAATGATTTGAATAGACGGAATTTTATTGGATTACCGGTAACTCGAGATTTGGTTAGCCTGAGGGAGAGCTGATCAAAAAACTTCGAGGCTAAATTCCTCTCATATGTCACACTGCGCATGTCCAGGCGTGTGACTGTCATTGTCTTTGTTTCAGTCTTCTGTGGTCAACGTTTTTGTAATGTCGATTTAACGATGTTCGACAGTAGACCTGCAGAATAACTCGTGAAATGTCTGAACAAGTAGGAATATTTTATTGTTCGTGTAGACCATTCTGCCGGAATATTCGAGAATCGGTCTGCCTGTTTTTGTTTTGTGAATTCGACAGGTACTGACATAGGAGTACAACGAAGGCCCACTTGTCGGAATTGCTTTAACGCGGAGGAACTGAGTAAAATACCACAGCAGGTGACGAAACGTGAGCTTACGGTTACCATTACAATTGAAATTGACTTGTTTGCCAATCAATGAAACACTGATTGCTTTTTCGATGCAGAAGGTTTTGTGCACCGCGGGGCGGAGTGTTCATGTTAACCTTGTTTGCTAGCTAGCTAGCTAAAAACGCCTGGCTGGCTGACAAGAGTTTGCTAACACCTCATTTTATCTGATCGGTTCTGCTGTGTTCTGGTGAAAGGAGTACAGCTGAACCACGGAAGTAACACAAGTCGGCTTCAACAGGCGTTCATGTTAAACACCTTGAAGTAGGCATTACATTAGACGAAACAGTAGTGATCTGTGTTGGAGTTTAACGTCAGCTGACCGATGTGGTGCAGAGTTACATTAGCCGATAAACTTAACGACCAGTTACAGGAAGTGGGAGGTTCAACTTTCGATGGCCGTTTCGCCTCACAATCTGCTATGATGATCCATTTGTAACAAGATGAGACTGTCTTCAGGGTTGTTGCTTCATCATCAGGGCGATGATTGCAGCAAGCACCTCTGAAACGTCGGTAAACTTCTACCATTGTGCACTGCGCTTCGACCCAGAAGACAGCCATCCTCATACTCGCCGTGAGATCAGATCTCATTTGTGATAAATTTATCGGGGCCGAAAAGACGCAGAGAACAGGGCTGCCATCAATTTGATCTGACCCAGTCTTCGCAGACTCTTTCTTCTTGAGGTTACTGTAATCGTTTAGTCATGAGGTCGGGCTCGGACTATGACTACCCATCAAAGATGAAGCAATGTTTCCGTTTTCAATACATCCACACCCGCACATGTTGCGACATATATTTGTCACTGTCAGCTGTCCTTTCGAAAAATCCACATTCAAGAAGTTCAAAACTTCTTGTAACTGGATACTTTGACAGGCCATTGCAGTATTTCACCCCTAGGAGGTCGGACCCCTATTAATTGGGTTTATGCAACGTGACCTAGCGTCACCACGCGATGTAAACTGTCAAAGTTGACCTTGGGTATCGAACCGACCAATCAGAGAAAAGTTATTCTGACTTAAATTTAAATTATTCAACCAATCACAAAACAAAACGGGAAGTCGAACCAATGATGTCACAAAATATCCAGATTTCGGGAATCGTGGGAGAAATTAATATATTTGAGAGAAAACTTCTTTTAGAGCCAGTCGTCAGCTGTAAGGTGAAACGTTATCACGGACGCATCGGTGTATTGCATTAACTTTAACCAAAACTCAACACATACTTGTCTTAACCTTGATTTCACGTGTCTGGCGGGACACGACCGTTTGAACTGTCACGTGTTATCAGCCCGTGACATTTGCCTATCGATTCCATTGCACGTCATCAACGGAGAGAGGAAATTTAATGACTGGACCAGAAACTCAAACTTACAGATTTTATTAATTTGTTGCAAAGTGATTGTTAAGTCTTTTCTTTTGTTGACTCGTGCTTTGTTTAGGGCTTCATTGTGATAAACTGTATTTTTAATCATTTTGGATTTGCTAGAATTTTGTTTATGGGAATTTTAGTGCCAGTTCGTCATTCACACGTTGGGCCAAAGAAAGTGTGGGTGAGACTAACGGACGGACGGACACAGTTTTCGGCTCGTGGGTTGAGTAGGAAAGTAGTGTAGAATTCTCTTCCTAATTTGGTAGGAGAAGTTTGTCGTTCGCCGCACAAATTTAGTTTTGGTCGACGAAACAGAGTCTTTGTGAAAAGTTACATACAGTTACAAGACTGTATTTCTTGATTGAGAGTTACGTAAAAACATTTTCATTATGTTCATCATCGGCGTCAAATACCGCCTGCAGCAGACGTCGGAAATTTCGCACAACTGCAGAACGAATATCTTCACCGACTCTGATCATTACTGCCAAAATTTCTTGTCACATTTCTTCTATTGTGTGCGGATTATTTGTTTTAAAACTACAGCATTTTCTCCCGAGACTGTTGAACTCAGAGATTTTTGTTATGTACTTAGGTAATTAATATGTTATTAAAATTTGAGCGTCTTCTGAGAAAAATCCTGTAAATAATTTCTTTTTTTAAATAAAATTAACCACCGAAAGTGCATGATACCGATACGTGGGCCTCTGTCGTCTGTGGCCTGTAGTTGTTTAGGCTGCGGTAAAACTGAATACGGTTCAGTCTGGCAGCAGAAGACGCCGAGGGGCTCTCTGGGTGTACTCTTTCTCTGTTCCGTCGGTCTGTGAGCGCGCGGAGCAATGCCATTACAAGCACGTGGCGCTCCCTTGCACAGCGCCGTCTTATGGCAGCTGGTGCCGACCTAGCATCGATCGCGACAGAAATCGGCCACAACCGTCGGAGCGGTGTTACACATTCTTACGATGAACTTTTTTTCCCAGTACGATTTCGAATTCTTATTTTGACGCAGTGTCGTGTAATTTCTTTTTATGAACGTAAAAACCGAGTGTTTGAGATTATAAAGGTTTGTGGCCCTCTTGGTCGTGGCGCCGTGTGGTCTTGTGATTACCAAAACGACCCTGAAATGGCTTCTTTACGCTCCTCCGAGACTTTTCGATAACCACGTGACGTCCCAGGACCACGATCGATATAAAAATCGATTATTTTTCAGTCGATCTGTCTGTACGCCCAACAAATTATGTGATAGACAATTAGGTGTCGCGAGACGTTGAAGAAAACGAGAATGAAGCATAAACATGCTTTATTGGTGTTGATATGTTTAGATATTTAATAATTTCGCTCGTAAGAAGTTACTTGAATCAAAACGGCGTGTGATGAGAATTGACCGAATTGTAGATTAATCGTTTGCTTTAAGTGAGTGATGTCGCTTTCATGCAAGGCGTAGCTTAGAATTCGATTTCGGAGAAGTGATCGAAATGCAGGTCTACAGCGTGTGTGAAAGAATTTAAAAAGAACTGAAGTAGGTGGCCTATATGATTGACACAGCTTTTATAAGTTAAATATCGTTTAGGATGCCCAGTGCGGTGGATTGTTCTCCTTTGCATGTCACTGAGATGCCTGTTTGGTTTATTATGTCTGTTTTTATAAGTTAAATATCTTTTAGGATGCCCAGTGCAGTGGATTGTTCTCCTTAAATTTTCTCCTTTGCATGTCACTGAGATGCCTGTTTAGTTTATTATGTCTGTTTTTGTTTGTTATCGTCAATTTTAATACGTCTATTCCTACAATTATTGATGCCGAATTGACATCACTGTGGACTTGTGTTATTTTCAATACCCTTACAAATAGGCTTTAATGCTGTTCGAGATTATGTAATTGTGTACATTTTACTTTCGTCATGACAACAACTCCGCTATGACGGAAATGCGAAGTGATATTCCTAGTAGAATCAGTGAAACAAGTTTAGTTTCTGTCTTCACGTGTTGACCTAAATACTCTTTGACCCTGTCCTGAGTCATGTCTCCTCTTCACCCCTGCAAGGTATTCTATCTCAGAATTTGGGAAAATCATGCGGGCATGAACACAGTTAGTTGCTAGTTGACTCATATTGGAATTGCACACCTACTTTGTATCTAGGAGGTTCCGGGTTTAAACTCGACCTAGAGACAGGGCTTCTGACTGAGATTTTTCATGATTTTCCTCAGTCCGTCAAGGCAGAGGATTGCACGGTACCTTAACAAATCCATGACCCATCCTTCCATGTTCTTTCCATCCCGTTACTAACAGATTGTCCTCCCATTTGACGCGTTGTAATCAGAGGCGTTTGCATTGTCATTAATTAAACTACAGATAAATAATACTGGCTTCGCATTTCATTTGGTTGGATTTGTAATACCAGCAGCTCTGTGTGTGTGTGTCCCCTAAATTGGTCCTGAATCAGTTCTGTCGTCCTGCAGTTGAGGGACTGTGGCTGCGAACAGCGACTTACAGATGTCTCAGTTAATGGTTAACACGCAGTAAACAGGGTTTGAGATTTAATTTTGGTTAGGGAAAGCGAAGTTACCCGCTACAGGACTTCTTGTTCGCTTTCTGTTGACTGAAGAAGTCCAGGAAGATCGAAAGCGGACATCGGCTTTGGTC